TAGTGCCAACCCTACAGCAATAAGGGTGAGAATTACTATAGAGATGAAGAAAAAGATCATTGATAAGTATGAAAGTGGAGTGCGTGTCTCCGAGCTGGCCAGGTTGTATAATGAACCCCAATCAACCATCGCTACTATTGGTGGTACAGCTGCTGCTGCTGCTGCACTGTCAGCTGCTGCTGCTGCTGTAGCATCGTCTTGCTGTGATCGTCTGCTGTGCTGCTGCTGTAGCATCGTCTGCTGCTGCTGTAGCACTGTTGTTGGTGTGGCTTATTGAGAATATACCAAGAAACAATTAACCCCAGAGGATTTGCCACCCAGGATAACCCAAAAAAGTCAGTGTCATCGAAGACTGTCTAACTTATTTCCATTGGGGTCCTTAATCTTGTCTCCCAGGATGCAACCCAAACCAGTCGACTAACACCCAGGTGAACAGGGAAAAATGCCTGGAACTAGTGCTCATATTGGTGAATTTAAAGCCAGCAAAGGTTGGTTTGAGAGATTTAAGAATCGTAGTGACATACACAGTGTGATAAGGCCTGTTCTGAAAGAAAATGCCAAACAGGACCTAGAGTACTCAGAAGGAAAATGCACTCCCAGGACACAGTGTCTCATCAGTCATTGCTGCATCTTCAATAAAGGTAAGTGTCATTTATTCTTCATTTAGTAGACTAGTACATGCACAATATATACTGTGCATGTACTACTCTACTATTGTGCATGTATCCTTCTCTTTGTGTGTAGGAAAATGTATATTTCATGTGGTAAAATTTTTTTTTTCATACTTTTGGGTGTCTTGCACGGATTAATTTGATTTCCATTATTTCTTATGGGGAAAATTCATTCGCATACTGATTATTTCGCATACCAATGAGCCCTCTTGCACGGATTAAAATCGGTATGTGGGGGTCCACTGTATAATCAAGGGGGAAGCGCTAAACCCGGAGGATTATACAGCGCCTGGGGGGGGGGATGTGGAAGGCATTCAGGCTTAATTCGGGGAACTGGAGCACAGATCCAATTCCCTAAATCAAGAGCCCCTCACCAACATCAAGGAACCTTCCTTGAGGGGTACCAACCACTCCAAAACTTTATCCCCACCTGCTTTTAACATTTCTATCTTTATCCCATCAATCCCGGCTGCCTTACCCCCTTTCATTTTACCTACTGCCTCACGAACTTCTCCCACACTCACAACTGGCTCTTCCTCACTCCTACAAGATGTTATTCCTCCTTGCCCTATACACGAAATCACAGCTTCCCTATCTTCATCAACATTTAACAATTCCTCAAAATATTCCCTCCATCTTCTCAATACCTCTAACTCTCCATTTAATAACTCCTCTCCTATTTTTAACTGACAAATCCATTTGTTCTCTAGGCTTCCTTAACTTGTTAATCTCACTCCAAAACTTTTTCTTATTTTCAACAAAATTTGTTGATAACATCTCACCCACTCTCTCATTTGCTCTCTTTTTACATTGCTTCACCACTCTCTTAACCTCTCTCTTTTTCTCCATATACTCTTCCCTCCTTGCATCACTTCTACTTTGTAAAAACTTCTCATATGCTAACTTTTTCTCCCTTACTACTCTCTTTACATCCTCATTCCACCAATCGCCCCTCTTCCCTCCCGCACGCACTTTCCTGTAACCACAAACTTCTGCTGAACACTAATACTACAATTTTAAACTTACCCCATACCTCTTTGACCCCATTGCCTATGCTCTCATTAGCCCATCTATCCTCCAATAGCTGTTTATATCTTACCCTAACTGCCTCCTCTTTTAGTTTATAAGCCTTCACCTCTCTCTTCCCAGATGCTTCTATTCTCCTTGTATCCCATCTACCTTTTACTCTCAGTGTAGCTACAACTAGAAAGTGATCTGATATATCTGTGGCCCCTCTATAAACATGTACATCCTGAAGTCTACTCAACAGTCTTTTATCTACCAATACATAATCCAACACACTACTGTCATTTTGCCCTACATCATATCTTGTATACATATTTATCCTCTTTTTCTTAAAATATGTATTACCTATAACTAAACCCTTTCTATACAAAGTTCAATCAAAGGGCTCCCATTATCATTTACACCTGGCACCCCAAACTTACTTACCACACCCTCTCTAAAAGTTTCTCCTACTTTAGCATTCAGATCCCCTACCACAATTACTCTCTCACTTGGTTCAAAGGCTCCTATACATTCACTTTTAAAATCTCCCAAAATCTCTCTCTCTCCTACATTCCTCTCTTCTCCAGGTGCATACATGCTTATTATGACCCACTTTTTGCATCCAACCTTTACTTTAATCCACATAATTCTTGAATTTACACATTCATATTCTCTTTTCTCCTTCCATAACTGATCCTTCAACCTTACTGCTACCCCTTCCTTTGCTCTAACTCTCTCAGATGCTCCAGATTTAATCCCATTTATTTCTCCCCACCGAAACTCCCCTACCCCCTTCAGCTTTGTTTCGCTTAGGGCCAGGACATCCAACTTCTTTTCCATAAAAAGGACCTTGAAATTGAGCTCAAAGTAGAGGAAATGTTCAGTTTTTGCTGATGTTCAGGAGTAAACAAATGATGTCCTTGTCCAATAAGTGTCCAATTAGCCATTCTAATATGCAGTCATGAATGAGTTACAGTATTTATACAATTATTACAATAATACAGTAGTCTGCATAACAGTAAATCTTCTATTTTTTGTGTGAATAAAAATTCAAAATAGAAAGCAAGAGTAATATAAGAGGGGCCTGGAGGCATGACTGATGAACAGAGAAAATGTTATTTTAGTGCCAGGAATGTCTGCATTGTTCATTCTGGATCCTGTTTTGAAATTGGCATCTTTTTAATTTGCTTGAAATTAGCCAAATTGCCAATTTCTGATCACTTTATTGGGTAGTTGAAATTGGTAAATGGGTGGTATCGACTGGAACAATGGAATTGGCCGAAAATAGGGCTCAAAGTGGCGTAAACATCGCCATGATCGTTAATTTCGCGAGAGCGTAATTCCATAAGTTGTCCATCAAATTTCATACTTTTGGTGTCATTAACATCGAGAAAAGATTCTCTTACTTCATAAGCAGGAATAATTATCTTTTTTCGAGAATTTTGCAACACTGACACACTTTAGGATTTGGGGTTGCAACAGTCAAAGGGTTAAAGGAATAAACCAAAAAGCCATCATTACACTTTCCTCGTGTGCCACAGCTCATTTTACCAGACACACTTAGAACACACATGTCCTCTAACTGCCAAGACAAATAGCATTCTGCACTGCTGGAAATGCTAATATTGAACAATAGCAAATGTCCAGCATTCTGTTTCACTTCAATATTGTTGCTACCATTCACCTGATTGAGCAGAATGGGAATGGCTTGTGATTTGTACTTTCCTCTTTTTTTCTTTGAAAATTCCTCATTGAATTCCATGCTCATTGTTCTCAGACAAATCAGGACTTAAGACAGCCTCCTCTCTCAATCAAACTGAAGTTGTGGTGTTCCACTGTAGTAGTTGTGAACTCACTCAAAATTGCAGTGTTTCTTAGTTGAAAAGACTTAAATGGTGCAATTCTTGTAGCTTTTCAATTTGTCCTTTTGGGATTGTTCCTATTCTTTCTTGTCCTAAGTCTTCAACCTTTATTTGTATTTTACTAAATCATCATCTTTCAACAAACCAGCTGTATCTTACCAAAGCAGGGTGGCCCAAAAAGAAAAATGAGTCTCTCTTTTCAACCTTAGTAATGTATACAGGAGAAGGGGTTACTAGCCCCATGCTCCCGGCACTTTAGTCGCCTCTTGCGACACGCATGGCTTAGGGAGGAAGAATTCTGTTCCACTTCCCCATGGAGGTAAGAGGAAATAAACAAGAACAAGAACTAGAAATAAAATAGAATAAAACCCAGAGGGGTGTGTACATGTATATGCTTGTATATGTATGTGTAGTGTGACCTAAGTCTAAGTAGAAGTAGCAAGACGTACCTGAAATCTTGCATGTTTATGAGACAGAAAAAAGGACACCAGCAATCCTACCATCGTGTAAAACAATTACAGGCTTCTGTTTTACACTCACTTGACAGGACGGTAGTACCTCCCTGGGCGGTTGCTGTCTACCAACCTACTACCTAGGATTTTACTAAATATTTCTTTCAACACACCGGCCGTATCCCACCGAGGCGGGGTGGCCCAAAAGGAAAAACGAAAGTTTCTCCTTTTACATTTAGTAATATATACAGGAGAAGGGGTTACTAGCCCCATGCTCCCGGCACTTTAGTCGCCTCTTACAACACGCATGGCTTACGGAGGAAAAATTCTGTTCCACTTCCCCATGGAGGTAAGAGGAAATAAACAAGAACAAGAACTAGAAAGAAAATAGAAGAAAACCCAAAGGGGTGTGTACATGTATATGCTTGTATATGTATGTGTAGTGTGACCTAAGTCTAAGTAGAAGTAGCAAGACGTACCTGAAATCTTGCATGTTTATGAGACAGAAAAAAGGACACCAGCAATCCTACCATCGTGTAAAACAATTACAGGCTTCTGTTTTACACTCACTTGGCAGGACGGTAGTACCTCCCTGGGCAGTTGCTGTCTACCAACCTACTACTTAGGATTTTACTAAATATATAAGAAAAATTATTAAAGAATCACTTATATGACCCTGGAATCATATTTTATTGGTCAGTTTGGAGGTAAACTAACAATGTGGTAATTTAAATTGAAAGACAGTTACAGAGCAAGCATTAGTGATAGTAGTATTTTGCTTTGTGTATGCCCTTGAGTCATTAACTTAACATTTTCCTTTGTATAGAGCTTTGTTATCACAATATAAAATTTGTCTTTTCTTCAGTTCTGTTGGAAATACACCTTTGTATCCAATAATTTTAATGCTGAGTAGAAATGTGTTAAATTTGCACAGCTGTTATTCCTTTAGGTCTTATTTACCCTGTGAATGTTTTGTGCAGTTAATAAAACATGGTTTTTCATAATAGTTGGAGAGTACACCAGAGAGGCTGGTGTGAGGACACTGGAACGCAAGATTGGAGCAGTGTGCCGAGCTATTGCTGTCCAGGTGGCAGAGAAAAGACGTGATCATGGTATGATGGTAGTATTTTAAATTTTGCTCATTTTATGTAGAGGTGAAGATTTTTTCCTTCCAGTAGTGACTATAGTATTTACCATGTGTATAGGTTTTTTACACCCCTAAAGTGCAAGAAGAATCGAACAAATGTTATTAGATCTGTTTACATGTATTACCATACAAAGCATAGTGTACTAGTTTGCAGTGAGATGATCCTGATCGGGTGATCCTGCCCTCATTGAGAAGGTGTTTTCATAAGAGGGTACATGATCCTGCCCCCATTCAGAATGTGGTCTTGCCTCTCTTCAGAGGTTGGCTTATGCAGAATGTTCTGAAAACATTAATGTTCTGAAAACATTAATGTTCTGAAAGTATTAAAAAAAAAAATTAAAGAAATTTTACATGTAGATTTTATCAGGATATAAATGAAGTGGTCACCAGGGGCTTTTGTTGATGATCAAGAATGTGTATATACAGTAGGGCCCCACTTATACGGCGGGTTAGGTTCCAGGCTGTCGCCAGAAAGCAGACATCGCCGGAAGGCAGAATGCCATTTTTTTCCATTTATAAATGCATATAAATGCCAGACAACAAGTTTCCACTAAATTATATTAAGTTAGTAATAGAACTAGGCATTAAAAACACACAAAGTAAAATACACTCACAGTAAATTCATTACTTATCTTAAAGTATTTGTAATCTTAATGTAGGGAGAGAGGTGACTAGTACTTATTTGTAGGAAGTCAGGTGCAGGTAGCCCAGGTGTAGGTAGCACTGGCTCCCCGTCTCATACTTAATATACGATATTTAAAACATCCCAGAGAGGTAAAATACATATACAGTACACTCATTATTTACCTTAAAATATGTGTAGTCTTAATATAGGAAGAGGTGAGTAGTATTTATTTGTAGGAAGTCAGTGTAGGTAGCCGGTAGGTGTAGCCCACCTGGGCTACACCTACCGGCTACCTACACTGTGGCCCAGAGCCATATTATTAACATCGACATGCCTTGTTCACTGAATTTAATAATTTCTAACAACTACCTTTAGATGCCATCATAAACGAAGGTAGAAATAATGAATAATTCATGCCAAAAATTGTAAACAAAAGCGGAGTGAGGGAGTGGCTGGGCCAAACGCAGATTCATACACGTTTTCTCTGATGGCTGAACAGAGAAAACGTAATGTTGTCCCTCCACCCGGCTACCACACAGCTCCACAAGTATTATTATCAGAGCACACATAAAATATGCAATAAATGCCAGACAACAAGTTTACACTAACTTGTATTAAGTTAGCAATAGAAATAGGCATTAAAAACACAATAAAAGGTAAGATACACACAGAGTACACTTATTACTTACCTTAAAATATTAATATTAATGTGTGAGAGGTGAGCGGCAGGGTGTTTACTGAATAAAATCAGAATGGCACACCATCATCCTCTAACTTGGCACTTAAAGCAAGAGGCTTACGACTTCTCTTTTAATTACAGCTAACCTTAGACGCCATCGTCAATGAGAGCCAGCTAGTTATCGAAAGAGTAAACGAGAGAGAGAACGAGATACAGAGTTGAGACAATGTAAGAACACAAACTGAACAGGTAGTGGACAATCACTTGGTCAGGCGAAATAAATGCGTATTAATGTGTCTAGTTTTAGTTCATTCACATCCATTTGTAAGAGTTTGTAAAACATTTACCTCAATATTTTTTTATTATAATAATAATTACCTCAGAATAAACAAACAGCAACACACCATTTTTAGAGTGAATGAAGATAATAATATTATTATTATTAATAATAATAATTATTATTATCACACTGGCCGATTCCCACCAAGGCAGGGTGGCCCGAAAAAGAAAAACTTTCACCATCATTCACTCCATCACTGTCTTGCCAGAAGGGTGCTTTACACTACAGTTTTTAAACTGCAACATTAACACCCCTCCTTCAGAGTGCAGGCACTGTACTTCCCATCTCCAGGACTCAAGTCCGGCCTGCCGGTTTCCCTGAATCCCTTCATAAATGTTACTTTGCTCACACTCCAACAGCACGTCAAGTATTAAAAACCATTTGTCTCCATTCACTCCTATCAAACACGCTCACGCATGCCTGCTGGAAGTCCAAGCCCCTCGCACACAAACCTCCTTTACCCCCTCCTCCAACCCTTCCTAGGCCGACCCCTACCCCGCCTTCCTTCCACTACAGACTGATACACTCTTGAAGTCATTCTGTTTCGCTCCATTCTCTCTACATGTCCGAACCACCCTCAACAACCCTTCCTCAGCCTCTGGACAACAGTTTGGTAATCCCGCACCTCCTCCTAACTTCCAAACTACGAATTCTCTGCATTATATTCACACCACACAGTGCCCTCAGACATGACATCTCCACTGCCTCCAGCCTTCTCCTCGCTGCAACATTCATCACCCACGCTTCACACCATATAAGAGCGTTGGTAAAACTATACTCTCATACATTCCTCTCTTTGCCTCCAAGGACAAAGTTCTTTGTCTCCACAGACTCCTAAGTGCACCACTCACTCTTTTTCCTCATCAATTCTATGATTCACCTCATCTTTCATAGACCCATCCGCTGACACGTCCACTCCCAAATATCTGAATACGTTCACCTCCTCCATACTCTCTCCCTCCAATCTGATATTCATCTTTCATCACCTAATCTTTTTGTTATTCCTCATAACCTTACTCTTTCCTGTATTCACCTTTAATTTTCTTCTTTTGCACACCCTACCAAATTCATCCACCAATCTCTGCAGCTTCTCTTCAGAATCTCCCAAGAGCACAGTGTCATCAGCAAAGAGCAGCTGTGACAACTCCCACTTTGTGTGTGATTCTTTATCTTTTAACTCCACGCCTCTTGCCAAGACCCTCGCATTTACTTCTCTTACAACCCCATCTATAAATATATTAAACAACCACGGTGACATCACACATCCTTGTCTAAGGCCTACTTTTACTGGGAAAAAAAAAAATAATAATAATAATATTATTATTTATTATAAAAAGCACTAAACCCATAAGGGTCGTGAATTGCTATATATAGAGTAAAGGCATATGAAAAGAATATTTTTCTACAGTTATCCCCCAGTTTGACTAGAGAAAACGTAATTCTTCGACACTCCTACACAGCTGCTTTGTAAACAAATCGCATATTTACATCAATTTTTATTCGTGAGTGTATGTATAATGTTTATATGCTATGTAATGGGTTTCATATATAATTTTGAGGAAAATATCATAGATGGATTAATAAAAATGCCTATATTGATGTAAAATAAGACATTTAGTGTGCCCAAGAGTGATTATTATTACATAGTATTGGCGTCATGAGTAGAGAGAGACTTAGCCATTTTAATGTGTTCCTGCACACCAGCACAGTGTGTAAGTATATTTAGGTACAGGTACACATAAGTATAATTATCAGAGTACATATAAAATATGCAGTAACTTTAAAACACTTGAAATTTTGGAAAGTTTCCCGACATAATAGATATAGTCACGGAAAATGTAAACAAACCGGGTGGGGGGTGCCATATTTGAAAGACCGCTTGCCGTATAGCAAATTTTGGTCATAATTTGACATCGCCGTATTAGCGGAACACCGTAAGGCGAAACGCCATAAAGCAGGGCCTTACTGTATATGGAAAGCTGTATTAAGGGTTGCCTCATTAAGTATATTTAAATAGAAAAATGAAAGAAAGAGCAGGGAAGAAAGTAAGGAACAATGTTTGTGACTGGAGAATACATTAGTCACAAAATTATACAAGCTAAGCTAAAATAATGTAGGAAATCACCTAGTGGTATTGCATTGGAATGTCGTTAAAGAGAATTACAAATTTCCTTATAGAATTTTTAAAATATATTAAAAGTTTTATACCCCAGTGAACTTATTTATTTGGCTGCAAAAAGGCCAGTCACCTTAATGTTTATTGAGTGACATTTCTGTTGAGAGATTGTAGTGTCAGTGCATTTAGAGAGGATGGAGCAGCATAGAATTTCTAAGAGTGTACAAATCTGGAGTGGCAAAGAGGAGAGGTTGGGGTTAACTCAGGAGGGGTTGGAGGGAGGTGTTCAGTACTAGAGGCTTGAGCATCAGGCAGACTTCTACAGGTATGCTAGATTGGAATGAATGAAGATTAATGGTTTTATGGCTTGGTGTGCTGTTGGAGTGTGAGCAAAGTAACATTTTGAAAAGTTTAATGGAAAAACAGGTATCAAGGGAATGATAGTGAACATTTTCTTTTTTTATGGGGGAGGGATCATCCTGCTTTGGTAGAAGACATTAGAGTGTTAAAAAAAAATGCTGTTGTAAATACTGTACTAGTATTTTTTTATGAACTCTTTAGCGATTTATTTTAATTTATTTTTACGTTATCCTAGAAGATGAAGCTAAAACCTCAGAAGAAATGATAACAGAAGCTGAAGATCGTGATCGTAGAACAGAACAGCACGCTGATGAAACTCGTGAAATAGAACTTCGCCAGGAAGTTGGAGAAGTGCCTCAGCAATCTGGGATAAATCTTTCTAAGCTGCGAGAACACATGGATCTACCAGTCATTGTAGACCCAAAGTTGATTTATGACATTTTAGGGGTAAGACATCAAAAGAATATTTACAGAAATGAAGGAAAAAATTATATGCAAAATCAGATTTGTTGTAAATTTTTAAGTAGCTGAAGAGTGAAAAACATTAATAAAAATAATTGTATTTTCTACAGCCACCTATCTTCCAAAGTGGATTAGCAGGACGAGTTAGTGTTCCTGGAGTAGCAGTGGGTTTGGCCTGGACACCTGTTGGTGGCGAAGTAATGGTGGTGGAGGCATCACGTACTGTAGGAGATTCTGGTCTCACCCTCACAGGTCAGCTTGGCTCTGTCATGCAGGAATCAGCCAAGATTGCCATGTCCTGGGTCAGGCAGCATGCGTTTCTGGTAAGATATTAGTATTCTTCTTTCAGCAACCCAACTGTATCCCACCGAAGCAGGGTGGCCCAAAAAGAAAAACAAAAGTTTCTCTGTTTAACTTTAGTAATGTATACAGTATTATCTTCATTTAAGTATATTTATTCCAGCAGACCATAAATGGCCCAGATAATAATTTCTCTTGACTCTTGTCTTTAATGTTTTCTGCTGCTCAGAAAATCCTCTCCAAAGAGGCTTTTCTTCAGGCTACAATTTATTGTACTGCAAGTATTTATGTTGCTTCTGTTACTAAAGAAGCAATATCAGTGGGTGTGCCTGGGTAATAATGGTGGATGTTAGGCAAGACACGTATGCAGCAGTTAGGTATCTTTATTTCGAAACATTTTGCCTACACAGTAGGCTTCTTCGGTCGAGTGCAGGAAAGTTGATAGAAGCAGAAGAGACGTGAAGATGATGTAATCAGTCCATCACCCTTGAAGTTTGAGGTGGTCAGTCCCTTAGTCTGGAGAAGAATATTGTTCCATAGTCTACCGAAGAAGCCTACTGTGTAGGCGAAACGTTTTGAAATAAAGATGCCTAACTGTTGCATATGTATCTTACCTAACAACCTGTCGGTATTTTATACCATTTTAAATATTCAATAATGGTGGATGGGGGGGAAGGTGTGTCTGACCTTATCAAGGGCCTACCTGGAGGGCATTCCGGGGATCAACGCCCCCGCGGCCCGGTCCACGACCAGGCCCCCCAGTGGATCAGGGCCTGATCAACGAAGCTGTTACTGCTGGCTGCGTGCAATCCATTGTACGAACCACAGCCCGGCTGCTCCGGCACCGTCTTTAAGTATCTGTCCAGCTCCCTCTTGAAGACAACCAGGGGTCTTCCCGTAATGCCCCTTATTGCTGGTGGGAGGCTGTTGAACAGTCTTGGGCCCCGGACACTTATTGTGTTTTCTCTTAGTGTACCAGTGATGCCCCTACTTTTCACTGGGGGATATGTTGCATCGCCTGCCAAGTCTTTTGCTTTCGTATGGAGTGATTGCTGTGTGCATATTAGGGACTGGTCCCTCCAGAATCTTCCAGGTGTAGATTATGATCTCTCTCTCTTGCCTGCGCTCTAGTGAGTACAAGTCAAGTCCTTCCAGGCGCTCCCAGTAGTTAAGGTGTTTGATGGAACTTATACGTGCAGTAAAGGTTCTCTGTGCATTCTCTAGCTCTGCAATTTCACCTGCCTTGAGTGGGGATGTTAATGTACAGTAGTATTCCAGCCTAGAAAGAATAAGTGATTTACAAAGGATCATCATTGGCTTAGCATCTCTTGTCTTGAATGTTCTCATTATCCATCCTATCAGTTTCCTAGCCAGATTAACTGCTGTTACTAGCATACAGGTGTTCAGGTCTACCCCTTTGGAGAGATTGCTCTTGGGACTACCCTCTTGTTAATGGTTAAGTTTCCAGGATGAGAAGTTGGGAAAGTGGGTCTTTGCACCAGCTAGTTTGAGAGTTGATGATGGGAACTTCCAATGTGGCAGTGTCAAAAACTGCTTCCAATGTGACAGTGTCAAAACTGCTGAGAGTTTGACCATCTAGCTAAGCACTAGTACTGTTGAGTGTCTGTTTAATGCCCTGTTTGCAACTGAGAGTCAGTGACCCTCTTAAAAGTGCTGTGAGCCTTGCTGCTTCATTTTTTTTTTTAAGTAAGAACAGTAAGTGTATAATACAAGGTTAAGCCAGTTTAGAATGTATTTACCCTTTACTCAGCCAGCTTAATTCTTGGCTTGTACTCATTAGTACTGTTAGCATTGGACTAAAAAATGACAACTCTTGTACAATGTAAATGCCACAAAAAATAGCATATTTCTGATCATGGGTTTAGCAGTACCTGAAAACTAATAAAAAAAATTGTCTTACAGTTACAGCTAGACAAGGACTTCATGAAGGATGAGGAGATTCACATGCACTTTCCAGCAGGAGCTATCAATAAAGATGGGCCCTCTGCAGGAGTTACCATACTTACTGTATTAGTATCGCTGCTTTCCAACCGATGTGTTCGTTCTGATGTGGCGATGACTGGGGAAATTACTCTTAATGGAGTTGTATTGCCAGTAAGTCATCTTACATTATATAAGAATCCCTGATAAAATACCTATACTCTTTATATGATTTTTGTCTTGTTTATCAATTATGTCTTTTGCCACTTCATTTCTGGATTCTTGAGAATATCTCTTTCACTGTATGGAAACAGGTATTGTAGGACACTGGTAGCCATTTTAGGAACTACTAATTAATTTATCAGTAGAAGGGAGGGTTTGTATCTGTGCATGTTGGAGTGACGACAAATTACTAGCCTAAGTAGTTGTTTTGCTAGAACCCTATTTATTATCTGAGGTGTTTAGGCTTTTGTTATTTTTTAGTTTCTATATCAAATATTTTTAGATAATTTTAATTTGGCATGTAAATACCATGTCAAATTAGATACTCGCCCCTCAGTTAACGACTTAGGTAGAGAATAAAAATTGCATTTTCTTGTAGAGAACCATGCTGTAACCTGAGATTCCTATTATTTTTTTTGAGGGGAAGAGGGGATGAAATTCATAACTAAATGCTGCATGTGTGAGACAGTGGCTTCCCTCCCATTCCTCTCCTTTGTATACATTGTATCCATATGGGGTTAGTGCTCATGGCTGAACTGGTAGTGGCTTCAACTCTTACCCAGAGATCAAATCCCAGTCCTTCAGTGTGAGTGGTAATGTTAGGTATGTTTCTTGATATCTGCCTTTTTTTTTTGGGGGGGGGGGGCATATCCTTGAGCGGGGATTACGAAACCTTAATGAAAATAAGTGAGACAGCCTGATGATGGTTTTATTAGATTATCCTAGATTACCAACTCTAATCTGAGCAAAATCTTCAACTTGCAGGTTGGTGGAATCAAGGAGAAGCTATTGGCAGCTCACCGAGCAGGGCTTACCACTGTTGTTATTCCAGCAGCAAATAAAAAGGACCTTGAAGATATTCCAAATTCAGTTTTAGTAAGTTTCATTTATGTACAGTAAAACTTATTATATACGTTACATTGAGACCTTTTCTCATAATGCTACACTGGTACAGTATTATTATTAGTTTTGATTATAAAATATTGTTTTTTCATTTAGGTGACAAACTGTTAACTCAGTCTTAAAATATTATGTACTTTGATTATTTTTTTTTTTAACTATCTGTCTCCCACCAAGGCAGGAAACACATTCACCATTATTCATTCAACAGTTGCCTTGCCAGGAGTGTGCAGATATCACAATTCAAATGACCTTTTGAACTTCAGTGTCCCCACTTCTCTTTTGGGAGCGTGGGCATTGCATTTCAAGAGGAATGGGGACTGAAGTCCGGCTAACCAGTTTTCCTAAATCCCTTAATTAATGTTACCTTCCCCACACTAACAGCATGTCAAGTCACTTGCTTGACTATTCCACTTCCTGACTACTCTGTGACTGAAGAAATACTTCCTAACATCCCTTTGACTCATCTGAGTCTTCAACTTCCAAGAGTGACCCCTTGTTTGTGTGTCCCCTCTCTGGAACATCCTGTCTCTGTCCACCTTGTCTATTCCATGCAGTATTTTGTATGTCATTATCATATCTCCCCAAACTCTCCTGTCCTCCAGTGTCGTCAGGCCGATTTTCCTTGACCTTTCTTCATAAAGCATTCCCCTTAGCTCTTGAACTAACCTTGTCGCAAACCTTTGCACTTTCTCTAATTTCTTGACGTGCTTGACCTGGTGTGGGTTCCAAACTGGTGCTGCATACTCAGTATGGCCTGATGTACATGGTGTACAGTGTCTTGAACGATTCCTTACTAAGGTATCGGAACACTATTCTCAGGTTTACCAGTTGCCCATATGCTGCAGCAGTTATCTGGTTGATGTGTGCTTCTGGAGGCGTGCTTGATGTTATACTCGCCCCAAGATCTTTCTCCTTGAGCAAGGTTTGCAGTCTTTGGCCACCTAGCTTATACTCTGTCTTCAGTCTTCTTTGTCCTTCCCCGATCTTCATGACTTTGCATTTGGCGGGGTTAAATTTGAGAAGCCAATTGCTGGACCAGGTGTCCAGCCTGTCCAGGTCTCTCTAAAGTCCTGCCTGATCCTCATATTTAATTCTCCTCATTAACTTCACATCATCTGCAAACAGGGACCCTTCTGAGTCTATCCCTTCCATCATGTCATTCACATATACCAAAAATAGCACTGGTCCTAGGACTGACCCCTGTGGGACCCTTCTCATCGCAGGTGTCCACTGTGATACCTCGTCACGTACCATGGCTCGTTGTTGCCTCCCGTCAGGTATTCTCTAATCCATTGCAGTGCCCCTCCTGTTATACGTGCCTAATCCTCTAGCTTCTGCACTAATCTCTTGTGAAGAACTGTGTTGAAGGCCTTCTTACAGTCCAAGAAAATGCAGTCAACCCACCCCTCTCTTGTGTCTTACTTCTGTTACTTTATCATAAAACTCCAGAAGGTTTGTGACACAGGATTTGCCTTCCATGAATCCATGCTGGTTGTCATTTATACTCTTGTTCCGTTCCAGGTGCTCCACCACTCTCCTGATTTTACATACTATACATATCAGTGACACTGGTCTATAGTTTAGTGCCTCTTTTCTGTCTCCTTTTTTTAAAAATGGGAACTACATTTGCCATCTTCCATACCTTGGGTAGTTGCCCAGTTTCAAGGGATGTGCTGAAGATTGTACTTAGTGGCACACACAGCATTTCTGCTCCCTCTAAGGACCCACGGGGAGATGTTGTCCAGTCCCACTACCTTTGCGGTATCAAGGTCACCGAGCAGCTTCGTCACCTTCTCCTCAGTTGTGTGTATGTCATTCAACACTTGTTTGTATATTCCTTGTTGGTGTCCCCCTCTGTTCTCGTCTCCACTGTAAATACTTCCTTAAATCTCGTGTTGAGCTCTAACATACCTCTTGATCATTTCTTGTGAGTTCCCCACCTTCTTTCCTCAGCCTGATCACCTGGTCTTTGACTGCTTTGTGTGTGTGTGGGGGGGGGGGGGAGTGAGGGGGGTTGAGTGGGTTTGGGTGGAGACAAATGGTATTTGAGACTTGACAAGCTGTTGGAGCCTGAGCAAGGTAACAGTTTGTAAAGGTATTCAGGGAAACCAGTTAGCCAGACTTGAGTCTGGAGGTGAGAAGTACAGTGCTTGCACTCTAAAAGAGGAGTGGGGATCTTTGCAGTATGGAAGGGCATCTGAACTGTAGTATCTGTGCCTCTGTCAAGACAATCCCCTCAAGGAAGGTTCCTTGATGTTGGTGAGGGGCTCTTGATTTAGGGAATTGGATCTGTGCTCCAGTTCCCCGAATTAAGCCTTGAATGCCTTCCACATCCCCCCCCCCCAGGCGCTGTATAATCCTCCGGGTTTAGCGCTTCCCCCTTGATTATAATAATAATGTCAAGACAATGATGGTGAAAGCATTTCTTTTTGGGGATACCCTACCTCAATGGGAGATGGCTGGTGTTAAAAAAATGAAATTATCAGAGATCAAGGCTGAATTACTAGAGCTTCATGGTGAGTGGAGTTTATCTACTGAAATAAGAGTAACAGAAATTATAGTATTGTATCAGTGCAAATTAAATGCAGAAATAAATGTTATAGCTTTTTCTAGTGCTGGTAAAAGTAGTTAGGGAAAATTTTCTATTGACTGTTGATTTTTTTTTGCCATTAGAATGAAATTGAAGTGGTGCTGGTGAACACAGTGGAGGAGGTCCTTCAGGCAGCCTTTGATGATTTCACAGACATCCTTGGTGAGAACGATGATGGAGTCCCAGCAAAACCTCTGCCTAGTAAACTCTAGAGAATTTACACTAGTACTTCATCTGGATCATGTTCTTGAGAGTGACTTCAAAATATTTTTAATTACAGTATTGTACTGGATTTATTTTATTTCAGTTATCACAAATTATATTTAAATGTACATTGTATGTAATTTGTACATCTGAAAAAATATCAGTAAAAAGTGACAGCATAACCAAGTTCTATTATGTTTTTTACACACATCTGTGGAGCAACTAATTCTTTCATTGATGTGAATAAATTCATAAAAGCAATTAAATACGTATTTAATAGCTTCTTCCAGTCACGTTTTATTGTAATTTCTTCTCGTGTATATATTTTTTGTATTGCTCAGTGAAATCATACATAAATTTATCCTGTAGAAGTAGTTATACTGGTAACAATAGATTACAGTATATTATATTCACGTGGAAGTGCCAAACCTATAGGGATCATGCAACACCTGGGAAATAGGCAGAAGCCAGATTTAAATTGATCATTGGATCAAGAACTCTTGAATAGAGATCATAAATGTTATTAAAAAGGGAAAGATTCACATTAAATTCACTCAGTATTTGACCTGGGATTTCAGTTTCAGGCATTAATACAGTGGAACCTCTGATTACGAGTGCCCCACCATGCAAGTTTTTCAGGATACGAGCCGTCACTGTCAATTTTTTGCTCCTGGATATGAGCCAAAATTCAGGTTGCGAGCTTCCCCCTCAAGGGAGGTTCCTTGATGCCGGTGAGGTGTTCTTGATCTAGGGAATTGGATCTGTGCTCCAGTTCCCTTAATTAATAATACAGTGGACCCTCGGTTTTCGTGATTAATCTGTTCCAGAGTGTCTGATGAAACCCGAAAATCACGAAAACTGAAATAATTTTCCCCATAAGAAATAATGTAAATCCAATTAATCCATTTCAGACACCCAAAAATATTAAAAAAAAAAAAAAAAAAAATACATTTTAGATAATAACTATAGTTTTACATACAGAAAACGAGAATTATTATTATAATCAAAAAGAAGCGCTAAGCCACAAGGGCTATACGGCGCTGCAGGGTAGGGAAGGAAGCGAGGGTATTGGATGGCAGAAGGGAGGAGGGATGATCAGTAGGTTACAGAAAACAGCGGGGCTGGGGATAGTACGGGGGGTAGCAAGAGATTGAAGTAGAAAGGTGGGTCCATCAGCGAGAAGGGAAGGTAAAGAGAGAGCAGCAGAGCGAAGACGACGACGGAGGTAAATTCTGCGTGCTCGTTGATAAAGTGGGCAGTCCAACAATGTGGCTGACTGATAATGGAACTTGGCAATTCTCACAGAGAGGAGCAGGGCGCCTCTCCATGAGATATCCATGAGTAAGACGAGTATGGCCAATGCGAAGACAGGAGAGAGTAGTCTCCCAACCTCGACACTGGTGATAAGAAGACGGCCAGTAACCTATACTCGGTTTAATAGATTGAAGTTTGTTGCCGAGCATAGTAGACCAACGTTGTTGCCAACGGGTGTGAAGTTGGGAAGATATTGCAGCAAAATAGTCCGTAAATGAGAAAACGAGAAATAGTGCTAATGAAATGGTTAAATGAACATTTAAATCACTTTTACCTTTATTGAAGAGTCTTGTTGGCACATGGAGGGAGCAGAGAGTATTGTTTGGAGACAGGACAAAATGCTTAAATATGATGCTAAGCAGGGGTTCCACTGTATCAGTAAGAATTTAAAGTGCTTAATGACAGATTCCCTATTCTTGATCCAAGGCACTGGGCCTATCTACTCCTTGGATCAAATTCAGATGCTGTACGACCCCTACAGATTTAGCACCTCCCATAACAAAATGAACTGCTATATTTGAGACACATGCTTTCAATGGTAAATGATTGTATTCATAAAACATGAGGAATGGGGTACTGCTGAAGGGCTCTTTATCAAAAGAAATGGAGCTTCCTTGTACCAAACTTGATTACTTCCCATTCCCAGATGCTCCGAGTTTAGCACTTCCCTGCAATTATAATGATTTTGGTGGTTTAATAAGAGAGTACATGGTGTTTCCATGTTAGTTTTATTAACTTCAGCAATCCTCTCTGGTCAGTTACACTAAAACTGATTTATTATTTTGGGATGTTTCAACCCCTTAACTGAAGTCCTCTTCAGCAAGATACAGGACAAAGTGAACCTTACCTGTCAGTGGTGGATCAAGTAGAGTTGGTGGCTTGCATTTGGTACAAGTCATTGAAGCACTGTTTTGAGATATGGGGCAGGACTGTAGGTTTTAAGAGCAAACAATAATTGCATCTGGTTTCAAACTACCCTTGTACCATATTGAGATTTGATTTGAATGAAAGTTCCAAGATATTAGGTTTCACAAATAACCAGCACTTAGAGAGGAACCTTCAGATGATGCTTAAGTCTGCCCTGGACCACTGTAAAGTTGACTTGAAAATGGTCCAGAACAAACTGAAAGGTTTTCAAAAGTTACCTAAATGTGGGCTACTTTTGAATTATTGTAACCATGTTATTGACATGCATCTTACATTTAAGAGTGAATTGTTAAACAGTGATTTTAGCAGATTCCCAGTTAATTTTGTGGTTTTATTGTTAGACATCGTAGAAATGTAGTTCTGAGCATATTTTGTGTGTGTGTTCAATGATCTTGGTGGGTAGCTCTTGGCCAGTTTGCCCTATGTAAATAGAACAGCTATTACAAAGAATTTTATGGATTCCAAAGTGTTGAGGGATGTAGATTTCTTTGATCAGCTGGAGATGCCATTTCTTGGTGGAGTAACAAGTGATAACCATAAGACATCCAAAAATAAGGTGAGTGTTGTGGTGGTTTGGGATTGGGAGGGGAACTGCCTATGTAACAGCTTATATTAGCATTAATAGCTTCTAATTGTTTACATTAATGATCTGTTTTCTTTGAATATATCCAAGGAGGAAAGTTCTCCATTTGATCATTCAACCCTAAATTTGACATTGTTCAACTGCACAAACTGTCAAAACCTTGTCCCATGTAGTAAAGACATCCACCTACCTGTTACCAATCGTGTCAGATGGATTGATAAAAGCAAAATTGTTCTCTAAATACTCTATGTAAAGATTCTTTAATGGAAAGAGGGGATTACCATTATTACATTTTTCATTTTAAGTCTTATCAGTTGGCAAGATGATTTTCATTATTAGTAGTGGAAAATATTCCTGTGACAAACTTGTGGGCACAAAAGGGTAGATGTGGTATTGGTAGTCTTCCCTTTTCTGTTTTAGCAAATCTTTGCATGGACTATTTTGAAAGGAATCTACTTGCTTTTCTCAAACTGCCTGACATGATTTGTACAGTACTTTGCTACATTTGACAGGATTATGATGTTTATGGGAAAATGTTAAACCCCTACAGGGGTTATACAGCATATGGGGAATATGAAGTAATTAAGTAGAATTCCTATCTTTGGCCCCATGTCCCCTTGAGGGGACATGAGCCAGAGATAGGAAAATGCAAAGAATTAACCAGCTTAGACATACTCTTAAGGAAAACTTGATCCCTAGAATTCATTGTAAAGGAAACCTATGCATTCTTCAAACTAGAGTTTAATATACTTCTACTTAGTGTGAAGAACAGATCAGGTCTCTGTAGGACCCTTAAGGATTTGCAGCTACAAAAACTTACAATAAAAACGGTTTTATAAATCAGTCTGGGTAGCCAGGTTGGTTGATACAACTCTGACCCACTATAGCTGACAAAAAGTCAAGACAAGAAAGTTGAAGCAACTTTGTTTTCTTGGTCTCATACTACAGCAATGCAAATACAGGAATAGTGATTATGATCCTAACAAAACAGATGGTACCTACAAACAGATCAAAAACTCAGACCTTGCAACAAAGAACACATCTGCAAAGGAGAAACTGCCAAGACCTACCCATCAGAATGACCGAACACAAAATATTGGTAAGATATTCTCTAGAGAACACTACAGCTTTCCAGCCCATCAAAGTAAACTTATAAAAGTATGCTGAAATTATTCAGAGTGCACACTGCACTTTCAAACATAAGATTTTAGAATGAACCCTCATTCAAACCCAACTTAAACAATTCACAAGGGCAGTAGAGACCAGATACAATTACAGTTTGCTCGTAAAATCTAAATTTCAGCCCCAGATCTCAAAACGACTTTAGTATAAAGCTTGCACAGCCCCCACTACACACACAACCCCACTCTTCTTCTATGCTTGATGTACCTCTGGTAAGTAGTACAATGTTTTCCTTTTAAATAGCCATATTCCCTACTCTTTCTTAGTATCTACTGGAGAGGATCTCCCTTAAGAGGCTGCAGTATGCTGTCTTTCTATATTGTCTCCCTATGATGGTTTGGATCACAATATCAAATTGCTATATTGTACATTAAATGTTTTAATTATGACACTTTTTTTTTTTTTTTTGTTAGTCTTTCACATGTGTAAATTAGTCACTCAAACTGAAAGAAGTAACAAATTACCTCACAGCAATAATACATTGTCCTGTATGCCTGCCCACAAGTGTAGGAGTGTCCCTTCCCCCAGGGGCAGTGCCAGAATTTCTATACAGAAGGGGGTGGGAGTTCTTGGGTGGTTATCTGATTTGAAGGGGGCTACAAGACTTGTTTTGAAGCAGCATTACGACCATTTTTTTATTTGAGGGGAATGATGGTAAGGAACTGCCGTGGAGCACCCCCATTTGCTTATAAAATAGACATGTAATAGTTTGAGAGATGATGGAAAATTGCTCAGTTTCTTGGGACTCAGGTTGGTAAGGACAACACTAACTGGTGACCCAATGGCCCTGCCAAACTTGTCTGTAAAAGGTATTACTGAAGAAAAAAACTAAAGTAAATTAAAAATTCAGTGAGATTTCCAAAAGCTTGGTCTGGAGGGACCATCACTATACAACCCTATTGGTTTAGCACCTTCCCTTGATTGAACTGTTATGAGATACTGAGGCTGGCTAATTTCTTTCAATACTGATGCTCTTTATACTGTGGTGTCGAAAGTGTTTCTAATGGTGCCTAATAATTTGGATATGTATTTAGTGTGAATGCTTGCTAAATGCCAGATGTCTTTGCCCTGGGTGAGGTTCTAGAGTGCCACAATGCAGTATCTAGGCAGTGTAGACTTTAGTTCCAAGAGCTACAGTGAGCATATCCTGTGTAAAGCTTTTCTTAAAACCAGTCTTTATGTAATCAAATTAATATTCTGCTCAGGTTTTCTTAGGGCTTAAGCTCTTTACAGGCTTCCAAGAACCCAAACAAAACAATAGGGATGAGATATAACAAAACAAATTCTGATGCCTATATTCAGTTTTGGGCCGATATCTCTGCCAACATAACTGGCCAATACCCACTGATACCACTATTGATACCAATCCCATCAAAATTAGCCGATACCAATACTTTAGTGCATCCCTATTACACATTTCACCGACTATGTGCCATTACCAGCAAAAACTTGAATTTACAGAAAGGCATCATACTGGGTATACTCACTGTAGCTCTCTTGGAACCATCTAAGCCTACACCATCTTGACATTACATCATGGCACTCATGAGACTTGCCTAGGCCACAGACATCAGAACTGACACTGCTAAGAAAGGAGAGGTCATGAGCACAACTACTACAACTAGAAGGAGGAACCTCTCACTAACAACACATACACATAAAAACAAATCTTCGAAAAAAAAATTAACAGATCCTTAATGATGCATGATGTATCCTCAGTCTGAAAAAGGTCAGAAACTCTACCATCTTATTCTTCTCAGTCCTATACCAGCCAAAATACAGTAAACCTAAAATGCACAAGCCCAACATTCCCACAAGCTCCATAACAACTAGTACTGGAGCACTCCAAACTCTGGTGGGTACCCTTGCTAAACATGTTCAAATTACTAGGCACCACCAGCAACATACACCTAGACCTACTCAACATGAACAAGAAATTAGTCAGCCTTGATGCCACATCACTATTTACTAAAATCTCCAAGATCAAGTCATTGATCTACTATGAACAAAGATAAGGCAGACATGGAACTTTGCCTGGCAAACCATTTATAAATTTTACCGTTCAAAGATAGTTGCTGGAGATCACAGGAAAAGGCAGCTGGGGTAAATTGTCTTGGTGGGCATAGTCCTCATTGACAGAAAGGTTCCTAATGCCATATTGCCAATGAACAATGCTCCCCTCCTACACTGGGTATTCACAGGATCCATGTACATGAACAAGCCAAACCTTTCCAAAAGAGAACAGTTCAAACTGCAGAGCTACCATAAAGTAAGAAATAAGTGAGAACTGCCACCAATTCTGAAGACAGTGTAGGACTTCCCAAGAGCCTGGTAAAATGAGGTGCTAGTTAAGGACGTATTCATGGATGAGAGAGGTGAAACCAGTGTTTACAATACGAGGTTGGCAACTGGAGCTTTCAGCTCAGACTAGAAACGAGGTGGCAATAGAGGCAATACTTAAGTGCTATGCATGAGTTGGGATATTTCTGGAGCCCAGAATTGAGTATTGGTGTGAATAAAGTAGTTTACAACATATTCAAAGTGGCCCTCAACCACAGTAAGGAAAATGCAGCTAAATAGATACTGTACTATATTAAAAATTACTTTGGATGTCCAAAAATAATTTACTGTATCATCAGTGTGAATCCTAATATTTAGCAACTGTCTTAAACTCACTTCGATACACCAGCAAGAAATGATTACTGCTTATTTAATTACAAGACTATTAAATGGGCAGTAAATAGGAAACTAAAATTCACATCAGGTAATGATTGTATACAAAAGACCTATTTTCTACTTGCCTGATAATCAAACTGATTTTTGACAAATGTGCCAGTGTAGCACAACCAGTCATACAGGATCAGTTCTGCCAATCAAGTTGCATTATAATTATAAGTGTACAACTTCCTATTCAGAATTTCATCACGATTTTTCTTGAAATTAAGAGATTAATCTTGCCAAAAATATATTCAGATAGTTATTTGATCTGAAAAATGGATACAGAATTTTTTTTAGCTTATGTCAATTAAAAAAAGAATGTTAATGCATTTTTATTATCCTACTAAGAAAACAAACTAAAGAAGTACAGCATTAACCATAAAAAAGGAATATTATCTTATCTTTCACCTGATGCCATATGTTTCATTAAGTTGCTTATCAACTTCTCTAGCTTCTTAAGCTCTTGTTGACTGTCAGTCTGGTACTGAACACACTAGAAAAAAAAAACTCAGTGTTAATACATAAAAACATAATTTTACTTACATTTTATTAATACTCTTATGCTCAAATGCTGAATACAGATACATTATCTATACACACACAAACAGTAGCATGGGAAGACCCACTGGGACCTGTTGCTTTCTTAAAAAAAAAATAATATATATATATATATATATTAACAAGTCGGCCGTCTCCCACCAAGGCAGGGTGACCCAAAAAGAAAGAAAATCCCCAAAAAGAAAATACTTTCATCATCATTCAACACTTTCACCTCACTCACACATAATCACTGTTTTTTGCAGAGGTGCTCAGAACACAACAGTTTAGAAGCATATACGTATAAAGATACACAACATATCCCTCCAAACTGCTATTATCCCGAAACCCCTCCTTTAGAGTGCAGGCATTGTATTTCCCATTTCCAGGACTCAAGTCCAGCTATATAAAAATAACCAGTTTCCCTGAATCCCTTCACTAAATATTACCCTGCTCACACTCCAACAGATCGTCAGGCCCCAAATACCATTCGTCTCCATTTACTCCTATCAAACACGCTCATGCACGCCTGCTGGAAGTCCAAGCCCCTCGCCCACAAAACCTCCCTTACCCCTTCCTTCCAACCTTTTCGAGGACGACCTCTACCCCGCCTTCCTTCCCATACAGATTTAACCCTTTGACTGTCGCGGCCGTATATATACGTCTTACGAGGTACCGTGTTTGATGTATACTCATAAATTCTAGCGGCTTCAAATCAAGCAGGAGAAAGTTGGTAGGCCCACATGTGAGAGAATGGGTCTGTGTGGTCAGTGTGCACCATATAAAAAAAATCCTGGAGCACGCAGTGCATAATGAGAAAAAAAAAACTCCGACCGTTTTTTTTAATTAAAATGCCGACTTTGTGGTCTATTTTCGTATAGTATTTATGGTTGTATTCTCGTTTTCTTGGTCTCATTTGATAGAATGGAAAACATATTATAGAAATAGAGGTGATTTTGATTGATTTTACTATAAAAAGAACCTAGAAATGGAGCTCAAATTAGGGGAAATGTTTGATTTTTGCCAATGTTCAAAAGTAAACAAATGATGCCATTGTCCAATAAATGTCCAACTAGCCATTCTAATATGCAGTCATGAATGGGTTGATGTTATTTATACAATTATTACAGTATTGCAGTAGTCTGCATAATAGTAAGTCTTCTATTTTTTGTTTGAATAAAAATTCAAAATAGAAAGCAAGAGTAATATCAGAGGGGCCTGGAGACATGACTGATGAGCAAAGAAAATGTTATTTTAGAGCCAGGAATGTCTGCATTGTTCATTCTGGACCTTATTTTGAAATTGTCATATTTTTTAGTTTTCATGAAATTGGCCAAATTGCAAATTTCTGACCACATTATTAGGTAGTTGAAATTGGTAAATGGGCAGTTTCTTGTACTCAATCGATAGAAAAAATGGAGTAATAAAGAAATAGCTATGAGTTTGGGCAACTGGAACAAAGGAATTAGCCGAAAATAGGGCTCAAAGTGGGCGAAATCGCCGATTTGTAAACAGCACCGAGGTCGCTAACTTCGCGAGAGCATAATTCCATCAGTTTTCCAGTTTTCCATCAAATTTCGTTTTTTTGGTGTCATTACAATTGGGAAAAGATTCTCTATCATTTCATAAGAAAAAATAATTTTTTTTTTTTTTTAAATTTTGCGACACCAGGAGACACCTCAGGATTGGGGGTTGCGACAGTCAAAGGGTTAAATGCTGTCCATGTCATTCTACTTTGATCCATTCTCTCTAAATGACCAAACCACCTCAACAACCCTTCTTCAGCCCTCTGACTAATACTTTTATTAACTCCACACCTTCTCCTAATTTCCACACTCCGAATTTTCTGCATAATATTTACACCACACATTGCCCTTAGACAGGACATCTCCACTGCCTCCAACCGCCTCCTAGCTGCTGCATTCACACCTCAAGCTTCACACCCATATAAGAGTGTTGGTACTACTATACTTTCATACATTCCCTTCTTTGCCTCCATAGATAACGTTTTTTGTCTCCACATATACCTGTAATGCACCACTCACCTGTTTTCCCTCATCAATTCTATGATTAACCTCATCCTTCATAAATCCATCCACCGACACGTCAACTCCCAAGTATCTGAAAACATTCACTTCTTCCATACTCCTCCTCCCTAATATGATATCCAATTTTTCTTTATCTAAATCATTTGATACCCTCATCACCTTACTCTTTTCTATGTTCACTTTCAACTTTCTACCTTTACACACACTCCCAAACTCATCCACTAACCTTTGCAATTTTTCTTTAGAATCTCCCATAAGCATGGTATCATCAGCAAAAAGCAACTGTGTCAATTCCCATTTTGTATTTGATTCCCCATAATTTAATCCCACCCCTCTCCCGAACACCCTAGCATTTACTTCTTTTACAACCCCATCTATAAATATATTAACCATAATAATAATAATAATATCTTTATTTACTACAAGTACATGTACATGGTATACAGGCCTAGCTGACATCAATGACATACTACTAGTATATAGAAAGCCCCTTGTTATGCTCCGCATGTCGGGCAAATTAGGTCAGTGTCCCAAGATGCGACCCACGCCAGTCGACTAACACCCAGGTACCCATTTTACTGATGGGGAACATAGACAACAGGTGGAAAGAAACACGCCCAATGTTTCTACTCTTGCTGGGAATCGAACCCAGGCCCTCACCATGTGAAGCGAGAGCGTTAGCCACCAGGCCACCAGAGCCCTATGGTGACATTACACATCCCTAAGACCTACTTTTACCGGGAAGTAGTCTCCCTCTCTTCTACACACCCTAACCTGAGCCTCACTACCCTCATAAAAACTCTTTACAGCATTTAGTAACTTACCACCTATTCCATATAGCAACATCTGCCACATTGCTCCCCTATCCACTCTGTCATATGCCTTTTCTAAATCCATAAATGCAATAAAAACTTCCCTACCTTTATCTAAATACTGTTCCCATATATGCTTCAATGTAAACACTTGATCTACACATCCCCTACCCACTCTGAAACCTCCTTGCTCATCCGCAATCCTACATTCTGTCTTACCTCTAATTCTTTCAATTATAACCCTACTGTACACTTTTCCTGGTACAGGAAGGCCCCGCTTTACGGCGTTTCACTTTACGGCGTTCCGCTAATACGGACATTTCAAATTATGACCAAAACTCACTATACGGCTCCCCCCACCTGACTTTCTAATACGGTCACCGTGCCCCACCCTGTTTGTTTACATTCTCCATGAGCTCAGTAAGCACTAAGTCTCTCCATTTTGTCTGGAAACTCCAAAATTTCAAATGTTTTTAAAAGTTATTTCATATTTTATATATACTCTGATAATTATACTTATGTATACCTGTACCTAAATAAACTTACATACATCAAGTCATTTAAATGTCGTATATTACGTTAATATACACATTTTCATTAATCCATCCATGATATTTTTTTCAAAATTATATAATAAACACGATGCATAACATATAAATAAGATAAATACACCCCACAGTAGAATAAATAAACATAAATGTGAGATGTGAGCAGACGACTTCCACAAGTGACGCCATAATAACAATAGTCACCGAGTCTCATTAAATGTCGTATATTACGGTAATATACACATTTTCATTAATCCATCCATGATATTTTTTTCAAAATTATATAATAAACACGATGCATAACATATAAATAAGATAAATACACCCCACAGTAGAATAAATAAACATAAATGTGAGCTGTGGTAGCAGACGACTTCCACAAGTGGTGATAATAACAATAGTCACCGAGTCTCATTAAATGTCGTATATTACGGTAATATACACATTTTCATTAATCCATCCATGATATTTTTTCAAAATTATATAATAAACACGATGCATAACATATAAATAAGATAAATACACCCCACAGTAGAATAAATAAACATAAATGTGAGATGTGAGCAGACGACTTCCACAAGTGACGCCATAATAACAATAGTCACCGAGTCTCATTAAATGTCGTATATTACGGTAATATACACATTTTCATTAATCCATCCATGATATTTTTTTCAAAATTATATAATAAACACGATGCATAACATATAAATAAGATAAATACACCCCACAGTAGAATAAATAAACATAAATGTGAGCTGTGGTAGCAGACGACTTCCACAAGTGGTGATAATAACAATAGTCACCGAGTCTCATTAAATGTCGTATATTACGGTAATATACACATTTTCATTAATCCAGCCATGATATTTTTTTCAAAATTATATAATAAACACGATACATAACATAAAAAGATGATAAATACACCCCACAATAGAATAAATAAACATAAATATAAGATGTGGGAGCCTGGTTTGTTTACTCTGTGCCTGGCCTGTCACCTCTCATGTACTCATTCTTTCTCTCTCTCATTTATTCGTTTTATCTCATTTACTTACTCCTGACCCTACATTAAGACTACAAATATTTTAAGGTAAGTAATGAGTGAACTGTATATACATTTTATCGCTCTGGGATGCTTAAATATCATAGAATAGTATGTGTGGGTGGGGTGGCCTGGTGAGGTAGCCTGGCTATTACAATACCTACCACACTTGATTTCTTACAATAAATACTACTTGTCTCACCCTAGATTAAGACTATAAATATTTTAAGGTAAGTAATGAGTGCACTATGTGTGTATTGTACCTTTTTATTGTTTTTTGATGCCTGGTTCTATTGCTAACTTAATATATGTTAGTGTAAACTTGTTATCTAGTGTTTGTATGCATTTATAAGTGGAAAAAAAGGGTGTTCCACTTTACGGCGGTTTCCGCTTTACGGCGGTAGCCTGGAACCTAACCCGCCGTATAAGTGGGGCCTTCCTGTATACTCAGTAAACTAATTCCTCTATAATTTTTACAATCTCTTTTGTTCCCCTTCCCTTTA